TTATGTATACTTTGCCACAGTATCTTTGCATTTGTGAAATAGAACATTTACATCTATAATGAAAGATCAACTTCAACACTTTTTATTATTTCTTTATTATAGCTTGACACCCATCACAAAAAGTAATCTACTCCAACTTCAGTGTTGGGTGTAACTAATTACTAAGTACTAAGTAATTACTAAGTAATTAGTTACTGTAATTTAATTACTTTTCCCTTGAAAATGTAAAGTAAGGGATTACTCTTATTTTTTCTGTAATTTAATTACAGTTACTTCTTATGTAATTGAACTTAATACTGTGTATAGACTGTAGAACACGTATATACAATATAATAATGGATTTAACATCAAAATTTAAAGTCTAACCTTAAAACGCATGCTTTTTATGTACCCTTCTCACTTTAAATACTTTGGTGAGTTAATAAGAATATTGGTAACACTTTAGTGTCCAATTCTCACTATTAACTTGTTGGTTATGAATATTACTGGGATATTGGCTGCTTATTATTACTTAAATAGGACATAATAATGTCTTATTCGGCAAGACCTTATTCTAAATCCTTAATACTATCCAATTCTTAAACTTAACAACTACTTTTACTAAGTATTAATAAGCAGTTATAGGAGTATATTGAGGCAAAAGTCATAGTTAATAATTAGTTAATAGTGAGAATTGTACCCTAATCTAAAATGTGACCAGAATAATTTATGTAGTTACTTGAAAGAATTAAAAGAACCGTTTCATGTCTATCCTTGTATCATTAACTTGTCGAGGTTGATATAGGATTTAGAAAGTAAGTAGAAATACAAGTAATTACATACTTTTTGGAGAGGGTACTTTGTACAGTAATCTAATTACACTGTTGAAGATGTAATTAGTAACTAGTAATTAATTACTTTTTTAGAGTAACTTACCCAACACTGTCCAACTTTACTTTAAAACAGCTCTTTCTTTATTAATGCATGTGCTTATATTGAAACACTACTGTAAGCACTGCAAGAGAATTAACTTAATGAAAAGCAAGAGTCAAGAGCCCAACTAAAGCAAACACTGATCACAATAATGGTGCTTTGTTGAAATTTCAAACATTTTTCAACATTAATTGCGGGTGCAAAAGTGATAATAATTTAATGTCATTAACATTGACAAATCAACTTTTTTAACATTGATTGAATGGTTTTCACCTGCTCTTTTGCTATCTGGGAAATCATAAACATCTAATAAACGTCTATTTGACATCTGATAGGAAACGTCCTAATACCCAACACTGTCCAACTTTACTTTAAAACAGCTCTTTCTTTATTAATGCATGTGTTTATATTGAAACACTACTGTAAGCACTGAAAGAGAATTAACTTAATGAAAAGCAAGAGTCAAGAGCCCAACTAAAGCAAACACTGATCACAATAATGGTGCTTTGTTGAAATTTCAAACATTTTTCAACATTAATTGCGGGTGCAAAAGTGATAATAATTTAATGTCATTAACATTGACAAATCAACTTTTTTAACATTGATTGAATGGTTTTCACCTGCTCTTTTGCTATCTGGGAAATCATAAACATCTAATAAACGTCTATTTGACATCTGATAGGAAACGTCCTACTATTGCAGATGAGAAAAACACTAAAAGATAGATCTAGCAGATGTAAATGCAGACGTCAAATAGATGTCTCCGTGATGAACATATTGTAACGGCCACCTAATGTTGAACGTTATTCATGTTAATGCCCCTTTAAACGTTTTGCGGTAAGTTTCCTCTGGTAGAGGTTTCAATTTAATATATAGACGTTCATCAGAATAGCGTGGCCAACACAGCCCTGTTGAAAACAGCATATGCTGGTTAGGTATGTTTTGACGCTGGGATGCTGGTTTAAGCTGGTCCTTTGCTGGTTTGTGCTGGTTTAAGCTGGTCTTTTGCTGGTCCTTTTGCTGGTTTGTGCTGGTCCTTTGCCAGCACATGACCAGCATAAACCAGCAAAAGGACCAGCAAAGGACCAGCTTAAACCAGCATCAAAACATACCTAACCAGCATATGCTGTTTTTTTTCAACAGGGAGAAGGTACCAAATTGCGTTTTATGTTAAAATACTTTAATCCTATAAAACTAAAAATAAAAAAAGTAATTTACTCACTATCATGTTGTTCCGGACCGTATGACTTTTCCCCCCGAAGAACATAAAAATGCTTTTGGTTGAATTCAATACATCGTGACTCACTTTAATGCTCATAAAGCGTGTCAGCAAACAGTCCACGTGGATCGCGGTTCGATTTCTTAGTGCTCTGGTAAGTGAAAAACCAATTTTATGTTAAAATACTTTAATCCTATAAAAATAAAAATAAAAAAAGTAATTTACTCACTATCATGTTGTTCCGTATGACTTTTCCCCCCGAAGAACATAAAAATGCTTTTGGTTGAATTCAATACATCGTGACTCACTTTAATGCTCATAAAGCGTGTCAGCAAACAGTCCACGTGGATCGCGGTTCGATTTCTTAGTGCTCTGGTAAGTGAAAAACCAACACAATATTTACACTTTAATTTTTTTTTTTTTTTTTATCGCAGCTGCCCTCTTGCGCGCCATCCAGTAGTTGGCGGAAATGCCCCTTTTACCGCCATTAATGGTAGAAAAAGACAATTGTATATTTCTAATTGTTTTGATCGTTTTGTATATGATGGTAAATGCTAGTAAGATGAATATACCATTCATCCTTTTTAAATGAACAAACAAACAATAAATGCCAGACAGTCACTGATAATTCTCTGGCTGAGCCTTACAGCTGATAAAGGTGTGAGCTGGAATATAAACTCAGTCAAGCTGGTTTAATTAAGTCTTTCTGCAGTCAACAAAGACCTCTGTGTCGATGTCCTCCAGAGTCAGTACTGTCTGATTCTGACATTTTCAAGACAGGCTTGTCTTAACTTTTGTATGGCTGAATTTCACCAAGCTGCTTCATTATACAAACCTTGAATGTCCTTTCAGACACAAATGCCTTTCAACATGCAGTGTGTTGTTTTTTATAGGATGTTTGATACAGTAGCCTATATGGCTCAAAAGACACTCAAGCTTCTGTTTAAATTAATCATGTCAGGTTAATGTTTTGTTTTATTTTCATGTGGGACAGCTATACAGAAATGTTGATGGACACAAGACAATATTCAAGTTACTTTACAATACTACTGTAAGCAAACACAAAGGGAACCAGATAGCACACGTATGTAAGGTGTCTGTTCAAGATTATTGATCTGGAAAGCATCTGCTTTGTACAAACATCTGACAGATGTCTTTAAGATGTCAGTTTTACATATAAAGCATCGTAAGCTTAAATTGATCGTAGCTCAATTGGTTTCAATGGGTCTACGACGTAGGCCTACTTAAGTTTACAATGCTTTTGGGAAACGCAGCCCTGTTCTGTTCTTGATGTAGACTTACCAGCCAACACGGACGGCAGCAGAAACACCGATGGGACAAAAGGAACACAATCCAAAACTGAAAGAAAAAATACATGTGCATGTATGAAACACATACAGAATACATTCTTTCGGTGGTGGAGTAAGACCCCATGAACCAGAGGTCTTGTGTAGCTTAAAAACCACAAGTTATCTTATTATAATGAGGACCGTTGAGATTTAGGAAAAGTTTCGTCACGTGGCAGTACAAGGAGCGAAGCGAACCTTGACACTGTAGGTCTTGGAACAGATAGTTAAGACAATTATGCCAGCAAGAAGTCAGTCAATAAAGCCAAAAAAGGACTAGCAGGGATATTATTAAATACAGAACCAGCACCTGTACTTTATTGAAAATGATGAACATTCATAGTGTTGAAGCACCTCTCCCGGTGTTATGCTCATGCAGACTCTACACAAACGCATTGGTCCACTGTATCTGTGCTAAATGATTTCCTCTAACCGCAGGATATTACAGGAAGCCGCTTTCAAAAACCCTTCTGCGCGTCGCAGGAACACAGTTCATTATCTGCTGGTGTTGGAGCAGACCTCATCAATTTTTCAGCTGCTAGACGGAGGTTAAAGGACAAACTGAGGCGTGTGGAAGCAGCACACGAGCAGATCATCACCTTAACCTCTCGCAGCGTCTAAATGAGCTGTGTTTTGGTTTACTGTGCGGATCATACACACGCTCAGAGACATTCCACACGAAAACAACAGTTTACAGCAAAGTCCTTGCATCACAATGAACAAAAACACAAAAAAAATCAGTTTGAACATAAATCAAGAGGGAACTAAAGAAGGACTAAGCACTAATATAGTGCATAACACACCAGTCTTTTCTTGTTCTCGGTTAAAAAGTCACTTTCAGATCGCCTTAAAGGGATAGTTCACGCAAAAATGAAAATTCTGTCATTTAATCACCCTCAAGTTGCTGCAAACCTGTACGACTTTCCATTTTATCTGTGGAACATACAAGGATACATTTTAATAACGCACTAGTTGTTCTTGTCAGTGCAATTATGAACAGCGACTGGAACATTCAAACATAAACAAGATGCAAAAGCATAATGAAAGTATTATAATTATGGAATAATATAAGTACAATTTATACATACACCTTCTGCATTATATTTCAAACCTTATTATTCATACAATAACTTTGTGAGACAATCAAACTTCAATTTAAGTCATTTTTCACTACATATCTTGACAGTTATTTTGAGTCATCTGATGGATTCTGAATGACTTATTCACTAATTGGACTCAATGATCGTGTTGTCCGGTCGTGATCCAGTCATACAGATGGGATTGAGGGTGAGTAAATGATGACACACTTTTCATTTTTGGGTGAACTAGGCTTTTAATGCGACTGATACAATAGATTCGGCACAACTTTTATTTCCTCTTTTTTTTCTGATGTAAGAAAAATCACGGCAAGAAAATGTCAAAGTTCTCCATCTGGTCCATGGAATGTCAGCTGTGTCTCTCACCCTTTTTAAATGTCACGGTTTTCACGACGACGTCCACTGATCCAAAACCTTTGTCCTTGCTGTTGTGCACACAGCGTTTTGTACACGCTGCAGATTTCAAGATCGAATTGTTCTTTGATGTCTATCTGTTACTCCTTGTGTCTTTTTCTTTTTTCTAAAATCCAAAGTGTGCCTTGGAGAGATGAACATATTAAAATGTTGCACGTAGTCCAGCTTGTGCTTTGAATGTACATATAAATGTCACAGAGAGCTTGATCACATGTCCACATCCCCATCATAAGCCAGAGTCAAGGGCTTCTGTGGTGGAGATGCACTTTTACTCTGTTTGGACGGTTTGCTGGCATAAAGAGAAGGAGAAAAAAGAGAGATCAATAACATTTAAGATATCAACTGCTTCCCTATATTGTATGTCTACACTTTACCACTAGATGGCAGCAACAAGTTATAAATCAGACTAAAGGCTACAAATCGACAAATAGGCAATAGGTGAAGTGCAATTTCTCTCATCAAGCAAAATCACAGAAACATAATGACTATTTTCAAACAGGTATTGTCTTTCCATTCAATGGTGAGTGTGTACAAATTTGATAGCATACAGTACATACCAAAACAGAAAGGCCACAGCGATTATGAACAATATGAGAATGAATCCTCCAGCTGTTAACCCATAGACCCACAGCTTTATTCTTCCATCTGTGTGATCAGAAAACAGGAGTGTGATCACCAATGAAATATATGGGAGCATAATTTTTATTGCTTGTGGTTTCAGCACAGGGGCTTGTTGCAGCAGTAACAGATGGCACATTCACGCTGGTGACAATGTACCTGAAGAAACCTTTTCACTATCTTCCCTTCTGAGCTCAGAGGAAAGAATGAGGTGTGTCACACAGCCATTAAGATGCTTGTATACCTGATATGACAAGGTCTCTGAACACATCTCGCAGATAAAAGACAAAAGACAGCAGTCTGATGAGCTGCACAGAGAGCTTCTCCTGTAGCAACAGACCTGGATCCTTCGAGACTCACACAATGGATGATGCAAAAACTACTCTCAGCAAAAGAAGATCGTGCTAAGTTTTGTAACACTTTAGAACAACTTTAATTCAGAGAAGCAGCTCACTGGTGGGTAGAAAAATGGAATAAGGACCTGTTAAAACTGCTCTGACTTATAAAACTGTGGCCTATAAAATGTCTAAACATGGAGCCATATACTTCTTTGTTATATATATTTTACAATTACATACGGCAATGTTTAGTTTAGCTTTATTGTATTGTATTTTTGTTTGAGATCAGACAATTGTTGGCAGGTCACTTGAGGTACTGCTGCATTTGAATGCACCTGGTTTAATAAGCTACTAACAAACATTACAACACAGGTCTGAATTTCAATGTGTTTATAATGTAATCCAAAATACAAATAATAAAACATTATTAAAAGTTTGGGGACTATAACATTTTTTTGAATGTTTTTGCTCACCAACTCTCTTGCTCACCAAAGCTGCATTTATTTGATCAAAAATACTGTACACAACAGTAATATTGTGAAATGTTATTACAATCTAAAATAACTATTTTCTATTTAAATATATATTTTAAAATGTAATTTAATTCTATGATGGCAAAGCTGAATTTTCAGCAGTTTTTATTCCAGTCTTTAGTGTCAAATCATTATTGTGCTGCCTAATATTTTTGTAGAAACTGTAAAGCACCCCCCCTTCCAGATTCTATGATAAATAGAAAAAATATTTTGTATCATTATAAATATCTTTACTCTGAATTTTCAGCAGTTTTTATTCCAGTCTTTAGTGTCAAATCATTATTGTGCTGCCTAATATTTTTGTAGAAACTGTAAAGCACCCCCCCCTTCCAGATTCTATGATAAATAGAAAAAATATTTTGTATCATTATAAATATCTTTACTGTCAATTCAATGTGTCCTTGCTAAATAACAGTATTTATTGAAGAAAACTTTCTGACTTATGTAAACTTTCTACACTTATGTAGTGTATGCTCATAATATAATCCAAAGTATAATAATAATAAAAAAAATCTAAATTGAATAATATGTAATGTAAAGTACTTTTGGTAATTCTCTGAATTTTGTCCCTCCATCTGGAGGCTGAAACCCACACCTACTGGTAACCTTACAGCACAGAGTTGTTGTACCACAGGCCGCTAAATTCACTTCTAATCAGAAATGGCCTCCAGCCAGCAATAAAGCAACTCTGTCTGTCAAGTTATGGGCAATACAAATCACGCTGTTATGAGACTGTCCAGTGCAGCTTTTCTCATAGCTCCAATAGGGTATAAACACTGAGGCATTAAACAGAGTTCTACAACAGCCTCTATCTGGAGTCTCATAAAGCCGTGCAGCGATTCTGCTATAACTCAAAGCCACACTCCGCTGGCCCACATCAGCCTGGTCTTCATCTGCATTTCAAATACCTGGGCCGAGTGGCTGCAGGGACCACTCGCCAAAGAAGTCCTGGATCTGAGTGGTGCCTGGTTTTAATCTTCCCGAGCTGGTCTTCACATCTGCCTTTTTGTTGTCAGCACCTGGGGTCTTGGTGCAGTAATCCAGGAATCCATGTGTGGTCATCACTTCAGTGTAGCCCTTCACACAGCCGCACACGCCGCTCTGAAAGAGACACCATCGTTGTGAGAGCCACACTCAGACACTGCATAAACACACTGCTGTGTTTGAAGAAATACTTTGCATTTAATGCAACTTCAGCTCAAACAACAGTACTTGTGGCATAATGCTGATTAGCACAAAAACTCATTTCAGTTTGTCCCTCCTTTTCATCACTGGGTTACAGTGAACCACTGTTTATAGGGCCAATCTGTAAATGTTAAAATACTCAGTTTCAATAGTATAACCACAAGACAAACAATATGGGTTATGATTTTAGTGAGGAAAAAAATCCCTTTTTCTGTGTAGTATATACAATTTTACAAACTTGTTGCCATGATAATGTAACAACGAAAACCCTAAAACGACTGCAAAAATGATGAAACTTAAAGCTCAAATAATACACAGGAGTTTAACATAAATGCTTCTATAAAATTATACAGTAAGCATCAGATTTCTGCTTCAAAAATTGGCCCATTCACTTCTCTTATAAGTGCCTCACTGTAACACTGAAATTATTTTTGGTAATGAACATTATGCCTCAAATGCTGTCGATTAAACTGTCGATTATTGAACCCCAGAATATTCCTTTAAGACAAAATGTAGTTGCATTCAATGCACTGCAAGTGGCAGTCAATGTACAGGTTTGTGAGTTTCATATTTTTGTCCTCTATTCAAAGCAATTATGCAAATTTTACACATGCCTGAAATGCCTCCCTTTATGATTTCACTAATAGCAAGCCATTAAATACAATCTACAGGACATATTATTTGTCTTGTTATTTACATGGTGGTTTAATGTGAAAATAGATATGGTTCAAATACAGGAAGATATCTTAGCACACAGTGTGTTTACCTGCTTGCAGTGGGAGAAGGGTTTGGTGCAGGGAGGGTGACAGTGCCGCACAGTTGTTGGCCGATTCTGTGGAAAGCAGCCCCCTTCCAACAGGAAACAACAGATGTAATTATTGCCATTTCCCTATTGATAGCCAGATAAAAGTGCTGTCACACCTGATTAATGGCTTAAAGGACCCATCACAGCTTCTGATCAATCAGTGAAGATTGTAATTTTGGAATAGAAAATTACATGTCAAAACATCAGAGACTAATACCCTGGGTTCGGGCCTTTCTCAAGCAGAAGAGATTACCTCTCACAGCTTATATTTGCCCGAGACGATTCCGTACTCAGATAAGATCACCTTTCTCTGTTATTTACAGCACTTTGTGCAACCCGAAAGCCTTCGTTCTCGCTCTAAATGCTCAAGTGAAAGCTTGCCATCTGGAGCGTGTTCATTTTGCCACAATCAAACAATGTTTTATAACATTTTTATTGTTCGCTCTCAGACGAGCGCTAGTTTATTGATGATGTCTGTTGAAATGGAGGGTGAGAATAAGGAAAATGTTGAATGTGCTATTAAACTGACAAGGTCTGCCAAATTCAAACCACAAATTTTCAGCCTGCCGTTCTACATTTAGGGTTAAAAGAATAATTCACCCAAAATGGAAAATCCTGTCATTATTTACTCACCTTCATGTCGTTCCAAACCCGTATGCTGTTATTTTCTCACTGCAACACAAATGAAGAATGTATCTTACCTTTTTCATTCAACTGGAGTTCATAGTGGCTGTCAAGCTCCATAGGGGACCGTAAAAGCACAATAAAAGTGGACTATGCAGCTTGTGCACGTAATTCCAAGTCTTCAAGGCCATATGATAAATTTATTTGAGAAACAAAAAAAAAAAATATTGATGTATACTACCATTCAAAAGTTTGGGGCTGCTAAGTTTTTTTCTGGCCATTTTTTTATGATTTTGAAAGAAGTTTCTTATGCTCACTAAGGTTGCATTTGTTTTAACAAAAGTAAAACATAATATTATGAAATATTATTACCATTTTAAAAGAACTGTTTTCTATTTTAATATATTTTAAAATGGAATTTATTCCTGTGATGGCAAAGCTGAATGATTTGGTGCTCAAGACCAGCTGACCTTCAAAGACCACATTGCAAAGACTGCTCGATCTTGCAGGTTTGCATTGCACAGCATCAGAAAGATCAGGCCTTTTCTAACGGAGCATGCTGCACAACTTCTTGTCCAGGCCCTTGTTATTTCTAGGCTGGACTACTGCTATGCTCTTCTTGCTGGACTTCCATTAAGCACTATCAAACCTCTACAAATGATTCAGAATGCAGCAGCACGACTGGTCTTCAACGAGCCCAAAAGAGCCCATGTTACACCTCTCTTTATCTCCTTGCACTGGCTACCGGTTGCAGCTCGCATCAAGATCAAGACATTGATGCTTGCATATAGAACAGCCACAGGCTCAGCACCCGCCTACTTCCACTCACTACTACGAATCTACATCCCCTCCAGAAGTCTGAGATCAAAATCACTTTCCAGCACATTCTCATTCACCGTTCCTGGCTGGTGGAATGATCTTCCCACCCCTATCCAGAATGCTGAATCCCTGACAATTTTCAAGTGACAGCTGAAAACTCATCTCTTTCTACGCTACTTGACTTCATCCTAAATTAAAAAAATAAATAAAAATCTTGTCTTTCTCTTTATGTATTCCTTCCCTTTCTAGCTTGTACTTATTTGAACAAATGCCTGAAACTTGGTATTACGAGCACTTCCTGTGTCTGTTTGGCTCTTTAAGAAGATTCGCTTTATGTATTCCCCAATTGTAAGTCGCTTTGGATAAAAGCATCTGCAAAATGACTAAATGTAAAGGTAAATGTCAAGAAACATTTCTTGTTATTATCAATGTTGAAAACAACTGTGTTGCTTAATATTTTTGTGTAAACCATAATACAGGATTCAGGATTCTTTGATGAATAGAAAGCTATTATTTATAACAGCTATATTTGAAATATAAATATTCTGTAACATTATAAAAGTCTGTCACTTTAATCAGTGTAATATATATTTGCTGAATTAAAGCATTAATTCCTTTAATCCCTATAATTCTTACTGACCTCAAACTTTTAAACAGTAATGTACAACCTGTTTCACAAATATTGCAATGTTTGTTTTGAGAGTTGTAGTAGATTGGGAAAATTATCAGTGAATAATGACTCATATTTAGGGCTGTTTGTCAGGTTAAACTATTGCTTGGCTTCAGAAGACTTGGATTACAGTGCTTGACTACCTTTATGGTGCTTTCCTATTTTTCTTTTTCTTCTTTTTGGAGTTCTCTCTAAAGTCTCTGGTCACTATGAACTTCACAAGATGTTACGATCGTTCAGAAAGTCTCCTTTGTGTTCCACTGTAAAAATAACAGCATACAGGTTTCGAAGGACATGAGGGCGGATAAATGATGACAGGATTTTCACTGTCAACAGACTTTCTGTCATGTGTAGTCGACAGGTCTTTTGATTATCTTTCTGTAAGTGAAATCAGTGCAGAATATTTGTCATTCTCTCAGTCTCAATGTAAGCGGTGGGCTACCTGTCACATTGACCCCATCAGACCGCTGGCACCACACTGATCTTTCGTTGTCATTCCAGACACTGGTCCTCCACTCGTAACTGTGACATTTCCCTCCTGCGGCCCCATACAGTGAGAGAGACACTTATTATGTTTGCACTGGGCAGTCAGGTGTGATAATAGCCAAATGCAGACATTATATACTGACGCAGGCGCACACACACACACACACACAGGTTTACATTTGTGAAAAGTGGGGACATCCCATAGGCGTAATGGTTTTTATACTGTACAGACCGTATATTCTATTGCCCTACACCAACCCTACCCCTAAACCTACCCCTTACAGGAGACTTTGTGCTATTTCAGATTTTCAATACACTCCATTCTGTGTGATTTATAAGCGTTTTGAAAAGTGGGGACATGGGGTAATGTCCTGAAAAGTCACCTTCTCCTTGTAATACCTATGTCATACCTTTGTCATTATACAAATTGATGTCCTCATTTGTCACAAAAACGCGTACACACACAAACACACACACACATACACACTTAACCTTCTGAACAAGACCAACTAACACAAACACAGGACTACAAAATTGAATTGTGGTGCATCAAATTAAAATACTTAGCATAACTAATGATCTGAAAGATGATATTATGTTAATTAGTATAGACATTTAACATATGTCTACACACACACACACACACACACACACACACACACACACACACACATATTAAAAAATATATAATTTATTCCTGTGATGCAAAGCTGAATTTTTACTCCAGCATCATTACTCCAGTCTTTAGTGTCACATGACCCTTCAGAAATCATTCTAATATACTGATTTGCTGCTCAAGAAACATTTCTTATTATTATCAATGTTGAAAACAGTGTTGTGTTTATTTATTTTGGAAACTGTGATACATTTTTTATCAGGATTCTTTGATGAACAGAAACTTCAAAAGAACAGCATTTCATCTTTTGTAACACTATAAATGTCTTTACTGTCACATTTGATACATTTAATGGATCACTGCTCAATAAAAGTATACATTTTTTTAATAAAAAAAAAATTGCTGACACGAAGGTATAGACAGTCTGGGTATGGGGTACATAACTACCTGCAAAAAACCTACTTCAATATTTTATTGGTTTGATCAATATTAGAAAATTCCTTCACAGAGCTCCACTGGATATGTAGGCTTTGTTCACTCAAATTAAATTTACCTTTAAAATCTGATCTTTGGGAGTGACTGCCTGCACCATCATTTTGTAAATGATGAAATACGATTCATTTGTTTAGACAGTGCTGTCTGAACATCTCTGGCGCATCTTGTTGGTTGGTTGTTACAGCAGTGATGTAGGCATCAGCAAAATGCCAAGAGACTTTCTGATACACAACTGAGAGTCGTGGGAAGAGAAGACTGAATCTCTATCATGACATCTTTGTTGTAGTGATGAACTTACAAGGTGTATAAGATTACAAGTGACATTTTATGCATATACTGTGTCCAAAACTGCTGACTTGTTCAATCATTTGCTACAAACTACTGTACATTGTGGAAGTCGCACAGTAAACTGAATAAAAATGAGTGTACTCGGGCACAGACAATACTGTACACCTTAAGTGATGTTATATACATGTCATATCCCAAAAAACACAAACTGCACACATTCAAATAATTGGATTTTAAATCAGATTTTAAACTATGGAAACTAATTTCACACTTTGGTAAATAATAATTATGAGGCAATAAAAAGTCATAATTATGCCATAAAAGTTATCTAATTTCAACAGTCAATTATGACTGTCATATATTGTAATATTTATCAGAAATGGGCTTCCATACAAAACACATATTTTACTGTATATTATATAATATTATTTTCACTGCTTGTACCTTTACATGAACGTGTCTCAAAGACTTGGTGAGGGCAGCTGTCCTGATTCTCCAGCACTTGTATGACCACAGCCTGTGAGCGAGCCTGACGGCCCACCGTCTCAAAACTACGTCCTTCCAGACACGTCAGCTGACAGGAACTCCACTGCGACCACTCTGTGAGGTGACAGTCTCCTGTAGATGACAAATCACATATCACAACTTCAGTTCTACAGTAAATGAATACCATGAGTATTGTATACTTATCAAGGAACTCCAACGGTCCAGTTAGCAAGTACAAAAAAAAAAAAAAAGGAATGCTATACCATAAATCCAAATTTGCTGAAGTGTGAAAAGTATGAATACTGGTATGTACTTTGAAGCATGTGGTAAGTACAAGATTCTTGGGATATATTACCGCAACATAAAACAACAGACCTTTGTCATATACTGCTAGTCAGTTTTGTTATTGTTAACTAAAACTACTGTAATACTATTTTCCTTGATTAAAATAAATCTGAAATAAATTAAAAATTATACTAAAAATGTTGCCTTCACATCTAAATGAAATACAAATAAAGCTAAACAGAAATATATATAAAAAAACTATCAAAAAATAAAAAAAATGTCCAAAGAACAAAATTACTAAAACTAAGTAAAATAAAATGACAACTGAAAATATAAAAAATGGGCAAATTTAAAATAAATAAATACTACAATAATATAAAAATAATACTAAATAAACACTGTTGCTAGCATTAACATCTTGATAAATTATTACACTAAAAACTTCATGTATAATGTATTATTATTATTCATAATAATAATAACTTATTATATGGCTCTCTGGAATACTTGATTCTGATTGGTCAGTCGCAACATAATGCCGAATATTGAAGACTTCAAAACACTTTCTTTTCACATAACATTTTATTTCCTTGTCTTTATTTTTGTGGTGAAAAGCTGTTATTAGTGATATGACTGCACACTATGCCTTAAATGTCTCTTGTCTGAACTTTGTCTAGGCTCAAAGCCATTTGTGAAGCTTAGCGTTTAAAGAGCTAATAAAATATTTCAACTCAAATCAATATTCTGATTATTTACTTATGCGGTGAGCAGCTTCGTGTTGGGGTCCTGATCATTTAAAATGACAAATACTTACAAAAACTTAAAGCAGATTTGGTCTTAAATTTGTCTGCCACTTGTCTGTATAATAACAGAAAAGCCTGTAGTGAAAGTTTTATAATAATAATAATAATACTAATAGAAAAATAATGAAAATAAAAATAAAAGTATGCACATTACAAACGTGCATTTTTATTTTTTTTTATTTTTACTTGCAGGCCAGCGAGATTGATCTGATCCTCAGTCATAGAACTGAATGCATGACAAAGTCTTCAGATACATTTAACGCTTCCTTAGCTGAAGGTCATACATCACTGGCCCTCCTAATCCCTCAGAGCAGAGGCCGATTCACAGCGAAAGCCGCCCCCACCTGCGCACGCTAGCACTAGCTCTTCAGCCATGACGTCCTTCTGATTCTGCAGCCAGGATGGCTATTAGAGACAATCTGTGCGCCCAGGCATCTCATTATCCATCATCTTCATGAAGCCAGTCTATTTTCATCCCTCACTGGAGCTGCCGAAACATATAATACAGCGACGCACACCGCACACCATATGCCACCCTCTCTAACTCGCTCATTTCTTTAGACTCTCTCTTTTTTGTCTCTACCTTTCTGACTCTAGCATCTTTCTTCCCCTCTCCTCCCAGCATATGTTCATCCCTGAGAGCATGCAGCAAATTTACAAAATGAAGAGAGGCACAGAAGTAAGGCTAACACAAGTCAACGATAGCCTGAAGGTGAAATGTATTCACAGGTTTAAAAAAGTGGGACATTGCTTGTCGACAAGTCGACAAACTTTCATTTCATTTCACTGAACATGACAGATATTAATTCCTAGGACAGTTCTACTCCTTGATCAACATCCTCCACTGGTTATGAAACAATAAATCATGTTAAATGAATCAAGAGCATCAGTGCACAAAAATGTAAACACAACAGGTAAAATGTTGTACCTGGACAGGGGACGAAACACGGCTGCTGCAGTTCCTGCTCGCTTTCCTTTCTCACGCGGTCTCCACACTTCTCGTCCTCTACCATTTTCGAAGGATAAGGGCTGTCCGGCCAGTCTGACCAGTGCACCACACACGTCAGGTTCCTCTCCCTCGTGCCATCTCCACATTCTGCACCCTACATGAAACCACATGGCCGACTCATTAATCTGGACGAGCCTTGAGCAGTGAGGCAGAGGAGCTTATTACATTGACACATATCTCTGAATGACTGACAGCTGAAAGTGAAACATGCAATGGCATTTCTCATGAATTGTGTGACCTGATCACACAGCTGAGGTTTCAACCATTACAGCAAAAACTGTTATCAGCATTTTTGTCTTACTTGCCAGTAAAACTATCTAAATATCCTAAAAAGCAATGTTTCATAAGATATTTGTTTTGAGAGACCTTTTGTAACGATCTATTTGTTGTTAAATTTAATTTTAAATGAATAATTTTAAAGTTGCTTTTGTTTAGTTGCATGTATAAACCTTACAAACTTTTGTGAGATTTATACTTAACATAAGGGGGAAAACAATTACAGCTTAAAGGGATAGTTCAACCAAAAAAATACAAGGTCTATCATTTACTCAACCTCAAGTTGTTCCAAACCGGCATGAGTTTCTTTCGTTGAACACAAAAGAAGATATTTTAAAGAACGTTGGTGACCAAACAGCTGATGGTAGCCACTGACTTCACAGTATTTGTTCCTATACTACAAAAGTCAATAGCTACCATCAACTGTTTGGTTACCAACATTCTTGAAAATAAAGGGTGAGTTGATTTTAATTTAAATTTTAGGCTGAACTATCCTATTAATGCCTTGAATTCTTATCATAAACAAATTTTGCCTAAATATAAAGTTTGTAAGACTTTTGTCAAAATACATTCTATTAACCCAGTTTATTGTTCATTGACTACTGTAAGTATTAGAGGTGTCACGATAAATTGATCTCTGGAATCGATTCTGAGCTTAGTTTTTAACAGCAGATGGCGCTCTAGCAGTGTTGCCAAGAATTGGGCTACTTTATTACTGTTGCCACAGGTTGTTTTTCATGTCCGTGGGTTAAAGCGACCCCGATAACGTGATATTTTACCCCCGGAACGCAATTTTTAATGGTGAGCCCACCTAAAAATGCGATTGGCTAGTTTGGAGTAGTAATTGGACGGGTTTTGTTGTGAAAACCTGGCAACCCTGCACTCTAGGCTAGTTTTTAACCGCACACTCAAATGCTCACAAAGAAGAACGTTTGCACGTTCAACTGAGTAATTTAAGTGGTTAAATGTACTTGCACCTCGGCATTTATGCTAGTATGACGCGAGATTAATGCAAACACAGCCCACTGTGAACACTCTTGTAATTCGCTTCAACCTTTTCGAACTTTATGAATGATTATTTTAAGTTCAAGTGGTGTGTGTAAGGAACTGGAAGAAAGCAAAGTACGGCTGTTTCTAAAGCACGTAGCGGCATCTGCTGTTAAAAAACTAAGCTCAGAATCAATTCAAGAGAGAATCGCGATTCATTCGGAAAAATTGCAGAATCGATCCATGAATTGATTTATCGTGACACCTCTAGTAAGTATGCCCTTCATAGGTTTATCTCCCCCCAAAAAAGTGTAAACATTGAGCCTCCCAGGCACCATCAAAACAGTAAGAGCGGTTTGTTCAGATCTGTCAATCTCCTTCCAGCTCAGCCAATAGCACGAGTTTGGCGTGTGGCTACTGGCTACTGTGACAGGCTGAGCCAGAGGGTGTTTAGCTGGTGTGGGACCTAGTGATGTGTTGTTCGCGAACGAGCCGGCTCTAAGAGCCGATTCTTTGTAGCAAACGAGAAGAGATGACTCCCTGTCGGGGAGAGCCGAATCTTCAGCCGGAGCCTTCTATTTTAGCCCAATTTAGCAATTGTGAATGGCTGAATTGTTTGTGTGTTGGTAAGCAATTTTTTATTCAGTGTTTTTATAATAGCCTTATTTTTATAAATTTTTTCGTTTCAAAAAATACAGTTACTATTATTCAACATTTTAATAAATCTTTAATTGAACAATTGAACACAGAACCACAGCAAACAAATCAAATAAATAAAGGCAAAAGTCTTAACATTAAGACGCTTTAGTCTTTAGTGCAGGTTGGCAGTCAGAAATATCAGATGCCTCAGCTTGGGTGTGCTTATGCGATTTCTCCTCTGTGATTATTTGTCCTGTTTTTGAGAAAACTCTCTCTGAGGGGACCTTTTGTCATGTTGCAACAATGCAGTGTCTTCCTACCTTAACCAACGCGCTTGCGTTTAAATCCGGATCCTCCGTCTCTCTCTCTGTCGCTCTGTGTACCTGGTCTTTACCACTACACTCGCTATCTTCGGAGCATGTGCCCCACTTCCTTCTTTCACATAATGGTATGTGTATTTTTTTTTTTGTAACGATAAAATGCATAAAAATAAGGCTTTTATGAAAACACTGAATAAAAAATTGCTTACCAACACAAACCATTCACAAGTGTGATACTCTGAGTGATACTAAATGAAGAGCCATTTGGGAGCCGTAAGAGGAGGGCTTCTAAGGGAGCCGAGCCAAAAGAGCAGAATCTTTGAAAAGAGCCGGACTTCCCATCAGTGGGACCACAGCTGACACGTGTCATGTAAAATAACTTCAGATACGGTTACAGAAGTGCAATGTTTGGGTTTCAAATGAGACAATGAACTTGCACGGTTTCTTCTCGACAGGTAAGTTCGACAGGTAAGCAACGGTTGCATGGAAATATGCTTTTATTTTCACTAGGTGACACTATTAGTTCAGAACTGCATTAAAATAATAAAAATACTGATTAAGAAAAACAGCGTTTTTTTTTTGCGTTGTTTTCACTTTCAACACTTTTTCTTCACACTTCCATGAAGTTTACGGAGCGTTTAACCTCAAAATCACGTTTCTTCTTGTTGTTATTGCATGTGTTACACATTTTGTTTTTCGTTCAAACATAATTTGCCTTGCAAATGTTAACTATGCAAATCACATCTTTTCAGATATGTGGTTTAGCATGTCTCTAGAAATGTATGTAATGACACAAACCACAATTACTGTAAAAATGGAAGCTGCGTTTCCACAGATGTCACACATATCACAGAAATGTGATAATGTTTATGAATATGAAAGTGTCCATCACACCATGCACCAAAGAAAGCACATAAATGCATGTTAAAAGTGTGCACTGTTTCTTTTGTTCATATTGTGAGGAGGACAGCTTTTGATCTGGGCAAGCACGACTCCAGGGACGTGCGCAAAACCCCGAGACATACAATTAAAATCCTTCTAAGATACAAAAGAGAAAGGAGAGAAAATCAGAAGAGAGGAGATGAAAATCTGAACTCTGCCACTGTTCTCCTCTAATGATAAGACCGTGGATTGCAGCAGGATTTTAATCAGCAGTTACCTCACGTCTCAATGACACAAAGTCCCTCTCTCACACACAAACTCGACATGTGCGCATGCAATTTCTACAAAATTCAATTAAAGAACTCGAGTGTTGTGTCAGTACCAGATAGACATGCCGGGTGGCTGGTCTCAACACCACTTGGTCATACGAAACATGAATTGAATGCCCTCAGATTAGGTGATATGCAATAACCAGTAACTGCAGAATACATGCAGATCCAATTATTTTTGCCCAGGATCTACCTCCACTGTGCAGGGAGACCAATCGCTCAGAAGCCACGTGTAGCAGGGGCTGATGGGACAGGGTTTGGTCTGGGAAAGCTGAGAGGCGCAGGGGCGTCCCTCCTCATGAGCTTGCTGAAGCATGCTGCGAGAGCGAGTCATAACACCTGCAACAGAGACACACGTGAAGAGACATCTGTGAATGCAATGCACTGTATGAAAATATGGCAAACGGCAGAGGCTAAAAATACATAAAGCCTACATTAGTGCGTACTCCAGCAGCTTGGGACAATGCTGTGGATTAATGTATTATTCACAACTATATATTGTATAGTTGCAATATTTATCAACTGTACAATTCAGGAATAGACAGAAACAGACATCTGAGATGGCACATCTTAGACCAGCATGGATTTCATGTTGGTCCAGGCCAGATTAAGCATGTTTAAAACTAATCTAAACAAAGGCAGAAATACATTATTTAATATTTATTGCGTGAAATAGTGTATTTGTTAGAAGTTAGGGTATTTGCTTTTCAAAGAGATAACAGTACGAGTAAATTTCATTTGTAAATTTAATTTTTTTGTGTCATTCCCAGTCAAATTGTGAAAATATTAAATTAATTATTTAGGACACATAAAATGATATCTATGCAGTTAGACTTATCAAAACAAAAGAGTTCACCATTTTATTCCAAAAATATTGTAAAAAATAAATAAATGAAGCTCTTTTTTAGGCGTATTATTATATGCATTAAAAGAGACAAATAATATTGCCTTTTTATTTGAACAGCAACATATTTAGTCATGTCTAGAATGTTTTTAATACCATTAGGATATATAAACATTAATGATCTATAATCATTTACAGGTCACAAACTTATAATTAGGAAATATTGTAAGTGTAGCATAGTTCAACAAATTAATTAACTGATTAATGAACAATTAAACTCTCTGTGGTGGAAAACAAGCTGTAGCTGCATAAAACACTTTCACAAAAGAATGCTATCAAACACAATTCAAAAATTGAGATGTGGTGAGAATTTTCTTAATTTTCAGAAAAAAAATAACAAATGACTCCTTCTGTGATGTCCATATGTCCACGGTTGGACATTGTTAATAATCAAATTAATAAACTACTGAGAAAAGTGTGTTTTTCTACAAATCAACAGGCCCAAAATTGTCCATAGGTGAAGAAACACCAGTAAACACAAATGAGATTTGAGAGCAACACAAGATTTTGAGTGATTAATGACTTTAATTTCTTCTCTGCTCCTCACACACATCTAGCATATGACTTCAGAAGACTTGGTAATCTACACAGCACACAAAGATACTTATTTGCCCTTTTCGGAGCTTGACAGCTCTTGGTCTTCGTTCACTTTCAATGTATGGAAAAGAACAGCTTGGACATTTTGCAAAACATCTACTTTCGCGTTCCACAGAAGAACGAATGACATGAGGATGAGTAAATGTAGGGATATATAGAAGGTCACTGTACATAGCAGCTCTAGGCCTGCCTAACTCATTAGTGTTAACTAGAACAGGATGTCTCAAACATGCAAACTGACAGCATTGAAGCTTAGACCAAGCTTTTTGGAAGAATATAATTTTGGGGCCATCACTCTTTTCACCCAAATTCTAAAGAAAAAAAAGGGAAAATATAGACACTTTATCAATGTACATCTGAACTGACAAAGTGACCGTGTCTCTGAACTAAATTGCACTCCAGTGAGTTTGACTGTAAAGAGCCCTCCTTCCAGTCGAGCATTAAACATTTAACAAGAAGAAAAAAAAAATGAAATTATATTCACAGCACAACATAACCGCTCATCAAATTCATGTTTTGTGCTGATTTCAAGAGCCGCCTCTACATCTGGGCGCTTCAAGAATGTCATTCATTAAAACAGAAGCACTCCGGCCAGATGAGGAAGCCCTTAAAATGATGTGATTTGACAGAGGAAATATCTCTACTTGATCCTGTAGGAAGATGGAGGAGGGTTGGGGAGGAATAGAGAGAAATAAGGGCTAGAATGAAGAAAGAAAAACGGGAAAAGTTCTTTGGGTCTCCTGAGCTCCACTTCCAAATGCATTAAAACTCTGTGTGTATATATACAACACATAATGAACCCCAAACTCTCGGTCTCAGGCGAGGTGCGCAAGAGACAACACTGCTTTGACACAGACAAATAAATAACTTTTTCCAGCCAGCACAGCTTGCGTTTCTGTGCCTGTGTATGTAACCGAAAACACGCTGAGAACTTCCTGTTTGCATAGCCTGAAGAACTCCCTTTGGATTTAAAAAGTAAACTGCCTGGCTGAGATAGGAAGCTGATGGCTGAATGAAAATTAATGAAGATTGTGCTCAACGTGTCTAATTAAGAGAAAAACAAGCTGAACTCCTAAGGAGCTGGGTCATTTGAACCATAGGGACCCGGGCTGCTCTTAAGGCTAGTAATTAGCACATTTTATACTGCATGAAGCAATAACACCGTTCCATCAGGCAAACAGGCCAACAAACTCGGAATTAACAATTGCAATTTTGAGAACACTAATGGGTAAAATAAATATTTCCCTTTGACTGATAAATCATTCGGCGTGTTCAGGAAACCAAGGGTTTCATACCCAGAGTCATTAACCTGTAAGCCGATCCTTAAATATGATTCATGACATAACATCCATAATTAAAAAGGGATTCCGACATGGCATGTTAATGAATGCAAAGTAAATGCGCACCACCTGATCGTGTGAGCTTAGAGCAAGCCGAGTGTTTGTCTCCATGGAACCTGAGTGCACAGGTTTGTGGGTTAGGTTGCATGCAAATGAAAATGTGTCAGTTGCACAGGAACGTTAAATATTATTGCGCACTGTAATTTGCAAGCATGTTTCTCTCTGATCCTTCTAAATACTGCTGATTGCTCCTCAAAACTGAAATGATTGCTATTTTGGGCTTCCACCTTTAGAAGGATTCGTGACTTCGTCAAATTTACTGTACATAAGCAGTTTTGAGAATTGAAGTCTGTGTGTTTTGAGTCAGGGTTACTGTCAGGGAAGGGAAACAATATTTATGAAAAGCTGTTTTTTATTTTAAAGGAGGTTCGTATGTTCACAACGTAAGCATTTAAAAAAAATCAAAAACACAATAAAACCAGTAATTTTTGAAATACTACAGTTAAAAATAACTGTTCCCCTTCAGGAACTCGAGCTGCATCGAGTCGCTTTGGGAACGCCCTTGCGTGACCGCGTTCTGAAGCACGTGTCAAATCCGTCCAATGGGGCAGCGAGACGTCACGAGCAGGGTGACGTAAGCACCAGAAAGCATAAAAGCGCATCCGGCCGGGCGCAAACCAGCTTCTGTCCTTCAGTAGCGCTCTGTGTATGTGTCTGTCTATTTACTGTTGTCTGTCCGCACAAGCACTCATATATATATATATAACAATGAGAAAGCTATGGCGAGCGAACGGCATTACAAACGCTGTGTTTCTCCCTGCCCACGATATCTGGCGGCGGGGGATACACACGATTTGTGTGTCGTTTGTTTAGGAGCGGAGCATGCACGGTCAGCTTTCGAGCAGCTGATTGTCATCACTGTGAGCTCTCGCCTGGCCATGTTTGATGGGAGCGGCCAGGCTCGCGATCCCACTGGCAGCGGTCCCACTGTTGCCGAGACGGGCTCATCCTTTTATCGGTCCTCACCCGCTAGATCCGCGGCTCTCTCTCTAACGCGGTTCCCCCCGCGCTTCATCAGTCAGACGCTTCATCTATCTTCCTCCGAGGAGGTGGATGTGATGAGTGTCGAGACAGAGGAGACTGTGGACTCGCCACCACAGTCCCTCGCGTATGAGGTGTGATTCGTGATTATGGGGTGTGTTTCGCGCCAAAATAAAATATCGTTTGGCCAGCCTAGAAACAGGACGCTCGTCCTAAAAATAATTAGACGAGCATGTTCTGAATCCAGATCACAGCTTTCACGACGGGGGCCTTCCGGTTTCCCCGATCTCCATGCTCAGGTGTCAAGATCGTGGGAGAAACCGTACTCATCCCGTATTACAGCCCCACAGTCTCGAATTATTCAAAATAACATCGTGGGGCTGAATGATAAGGGATATGGGGCGATGCCAGTGGTGGAGCAGACGCTTTCGAGCGCTCCTAGGCTTTCAGCTTGGGTGTGGCCTTGCAGGACATTTGTGCTGTGGCGGGCTGGTCCTCTCCACACACTTTTGTCCACTTTTACAACCTAGACCTGGCTTCTACCCCAGGTTCCCAAGTTCTCTCTTCATGATGTGCTCATAGGATACACACACAGGCAGGGACTTGGTAGTATGGCGCAGTGGGTATTCTCGTTCCCAAAGCGACTCGACGCAGCTCGAGTTCCTGAAGGGGAACGTCTCTAGGTTACGTATGTAACCATGGTTCCCCAAGGGAACGAGACGCTGCGTCTCTTTGCCATACTCCCTGCATCCCTGCAGGCGCTACTTCATCGAAGCTGGTTTGCGCCCGGCCGGATGCGCTTTTATGCTTTCTGGTGCTTACGTCACCCTGCTCGTGACGTCTCGCTGCCCCATTGGATGGATTTGACACGTGCTTCAGAACACGGTCACGCAAGGGCGTTCCCAAAGCGACTCGACGCAGCGTCTCGTTCCCTCGGGGAACCATGGTTACATACGTAACCTAGAGACGTTTTCTATTTTAATATATTTTAAAATGCAATTTATTCCTGTGAATAAAAAGTAACTTAATGGAAATTTTTGTATAAATAGAAAGTTCAAAAGAACAATAATAAATTACTTAATTGTTTCATCAATTTAATTAATCAATTTCTAGATGAATAAAAGTATCTTTATTAAATATATAAATAAAGTAAAAAAAGTTGTAAATTTTAAATAGTAGTAAAATTAAACCCAATCAAGTTTACACACTTAACAATAATAGTGGCTAAAAAGAAAACTTAATGCAAAGTAAATATTTCCATAAAACACTTTTTTTTATTATTCAAAAGTGATTGCATAATGGCGATGGTATAGTGTAGGCTATTTCCTGAGCAATAGTCCTCATTATATGTACTGTATAATTAATTACATACTGTGACTCACCTTTACTGCCACAGGTGTGTGAACACTCGGTCCAGGGCGCCCAGTCAGACAGGATGCAGTTAAAGGGACAGTCCACCACACAGTTCATCGCCAGTCTCCACGGTTGAGGTAGGCCCAGCTAAAACAGCGGGACAGCCATTAACCCCACGTCCCCTCACCACACACAATCTCTGTCTGATGAACCAGTCGTGAGCCAATGAGGGGCTATTACTGTAAAAGGCTTCAATGAAAGAATCATTTTCTGGATATGGAGCAATACTGTATAGGGAGTTAATGGACAGTCACGGCTGATTTGCAGTGCATGCAGTTGAAGGACATAATACAATCCCACAGTGCTTAATTCCCCCTTAGAGAACACTTGTACTGAGAGGGGCGTCAGGAAATGAAGCTTACCTCCTCGCACACGCTCAAATCCACCACTTTGCCATCGCTGCGGATGCAATCTAAGAGTCGTGTCCTCATGCCCTGGCTGCAGATGGCATGTTCGCTCAGCTGACAGGAGCTCCAGCCTGACCCGTAACCAAAGGATGCAAAAGCACACACACATACGGGAAACGTCAGACCAAAGTGGCATTCAAATATCAGATTCTGTGTCCTTGTACACAGCATTTCAATTCCTTTCAAATAGCCTTTCAATTAAATGCAGCATCAGGAGTACATTCATACAAGCCTGGATTGCATGCTTTCGTTAGATTTTAAAGTATGCATGCATGCTTAATGGACTAATATTGTCCACAACGCCTAATGCTGGCTGATGCAATTAAGATGCAATGCTATGAAATTATAAGATTTTCTAATATTGTTCTGACTCGGTTTATGCTTAATGTTTTTTTCATACTACCATTCAAAATGCTTGGTTCAGTAAGATTTTTTCTTTTTAAGGAAACTACTACTTTGATTTAGCAAGGTTGCATTAAATTGATTACATTGACAGCAAATACATTTATAATGTTACAAAAGATTTCCATTTCAAAACAAATAAGTGCTGTTCTTTTGAACTTTCTATTCTTTAAAGATTTAAAAAAGTATTGTGCTGTCCACAAAAATATTAAGCAGCACATACACTAGGTTTTCAACCTAGATAATAATACAAAATATTTCCTGAGCACCAAATCAGCATAGAATGATTTCTGAAGGATCATGTGACACTGAAGTCTGGAGTAATGGCTGCTGAAAATTCAGCTTTGTCATCACAGGAATAAATTATATTATAAAAAATATTCAAATAGACAATAATAATTAAAATAAATAATAACTACTTTAAATTATAATAATATTTCACAGTTTTACCATTTTTACTGTATTTTTGATCAAATTAATGCAGCCTTGGGAAGCAAGAGACTTCTTTCAAAAACAAAACAAAAATCTTTCTGACCCCAAACTTTTGAACGGGAGTATAGTTTTCACAGAAATATGCAAATTGTGAATAAGCTAATGTTTATAAAACAACAAAGTAGAATACAGAGATGCATTGTGATCTGAGGGCAGAAGTTAGGCCGCCTTTACGATGCTAATCTGGCTTTAAGTCATTCCAATGGCTTCGAGGAGCAGTATCAGTATTGATATGATCAGCGATTTCATGGTCTCTGTGCAGTAAAGCGCTTATCATCTCATTCATGTCTCCATGCCCATTTTCTTCATTAGGCTCTATCTGGAGAATTAGTATCTATCTGCTCTACTGGACGATACTGCACATGTGGCAATGTCCTACTGAGCTCAATATGGCTGCAGGCGACCGGACAATCCAAAGCAGTGGATTTACAGCAGTTCAGAAGTTCACATTCTCAGTGGAAATGTTAATGTGAGAAGAATAGCGTGAAGGAGAGAGAAAGAGTATGAACCTTTATCTTGCTTGAAACACAAACTCTTAACATCATTTCATATCCATCCTATATCCAAGAACCAGCTATGAGAGGCAGAGTGAAATCACAGAGAGTCTAAAGATATGCACTAGATTAGCATGTTCCCATTATTAGTGCAGTGGATATATCTCCAAATATTCAACTGGAAGGTTTCTTCTATGGGCTGTGTAGCCTGTTGTTAAAGATCTGGACTGATGCACAAAAGAAAGCAGGTAGAACCTTGTAAGAGCCAATCTTTGAGCCATCACCATTGTGTAATGGTAATTTATCAGATTGCCTTTGGGAGTTTGTCTTTGTAACTTCTCTTTATCCTTTTCGCCACTTATCAATAGACATACAGCCTCAGGGCTTGCAAAATTTCAAAATACCTGGTAGCCCTTCGGGCAGGTACTCTTCAGATTTTGGTAGCCCGAAAATTAGTTTAACTAGCCCAAATAAAAAAACACCTTTTTAAAAAAAAAATATATATATATAGAAAATCAGATAGGAGTTTAAATGTCAATCAAAAATATTTTCAATGCACAAATATCAACAAATACGAAAGAAGGAATTTTATTTCACTATTTACAGCGTATCTGCAGAATTTTTAAAAATACATTTAAGGCAATTTATGACCCATTTTAAGAGCTGCACAAGTAAAATGAACACAGTATGAGTGGGGTTGGACAATGTCTATGGTAACATAAAGTATTGAGCCATAAAATTACATGATTTACAGTTCAAATTTTATACAACAGCATTTCAGCCTCTATACCATTTTTATGAAAAGCGATAAATCAAGCATATTAATTATTATGTCAATTTAAAATGTATAAATAATTAATAATCTTAATTGTTTAGATTTTTAGAAGGCACATTAACTTCTTTCTCATTTACAACTCTATGTGTTTGCTGCATAAAAACATGAGTTGATATTTGCATTGATCTGACCATAAACAGCAAGAAAGGCTTGTTGGAAATGCAAATTCATTCTCTGCCACGAGGTGGCGCTTTAGGAGTGCTGAAATATTGCGGTTCCCCGGTAATGACTGTAGACAAAGCAGCACTGCGCTCATAAACGCTGCTTTATCAGGAATTATAGGTAAAATGAAATTAAAATGCCAACGACACGTTTCTGAGGACAGTCGGTTGCCTTCAGATACATTCAAATAAAGACCTCCGTGCCGCATTTTGACTTGAAACCTGCAGCGCTCATATTTATTTAATTACATCATTGCCTTTTGAAGTTTAATTGTCTTTCCATCCCCAACTGTAAGACCTCTTGAAATTATAATTTAGACATTTCTTATACCATTTAACTATTTAAAACTTTTTATGGCCTTAAGTTTGATAGAACTCATATGACATTTATTATAATGAGTTTATGTGAAGATTGTTTTAAGTTAAAATAAAAGTTGTTTTTTTAAAGCCTAATAAATGTTAAAATTGATAGCTCTCATGTTTACTGTAATGTCCAATGCTATAATCAATGGTCAATTTCATAGAGACATCAGTATTGGTATAAGTCATAAAAAAGATGCCACTAAACAAATATTTTAAAAAATACTGTCTTTATGTTTTTTGTACATTCATTTGAGTATTGCATGATAAATTATTGCAATATAAAAGTATATTTAAAAACTTTAATGTTAGGTGAGATTAATTGTGATTAATTTTAGAAAAAAATGTGCGATTAATTAATTACACATATTTAATCGATTGACAGCACTAATTACAATTCTTTATATATATATATATATATATATATATATATATATATATATAAAACCACAAAAACAAAGATTAAAACTTTAAATATATTTATTTTTCCCTTCTCAATAACCTATAAAATATTGTTTTTTAAATATATCAATCCTCAACCAATTTGCAGTTAGTATATAAAAATTGACCAGATTTATCATAGATAAAGCACAAAGCAGAAATCCTGAAAAAAAAAAAAAAATCGTGTTGGACAATTAGGGCCTTCGAGCTTTAGAATGTGATGCCTTAAATGTGCTGTTGAAGTGAATGAGTCATGCAACAGTCATTAGATGCTCATGTTATATTTAGTGTTGTGTCAAGCAGAATGAGAGAGACCCACTGGAGACATTGTAGTGATAATTGAAGCAGGTGCTGTTGAGGCTGCAGGGCTCTGTCTGGTTGCTGTCTGGACACACTCTGTCGGCCACTGGAGGGCGCAGCACGTGTCTCCTCCTCATCCTCACTGTGCTTTCATTACATGGCTACAAATAAATACAGTTAAAAGGTCAAGAGGGCTTTGACGCCAAACACATCAAAGTGTAGACACTATTTCTTTTTTAAAAAGTGCATATACATGGGCAAGCTGAGCAACAACCGCTGTGCTGTGTCATACTGCATTGTAAAAAGAAAAGAAAAAAAACCCAGCAGTCAGGCAGCCACATGGTCTTGCGATGCTAAGTGCACTGTTAGAAGCTGTTAGGCTGCAGGCAGCAACTAATCTGCATCTCCATCACTGTCAGACGCTAATGAGACCCTTTAAACGGCTAGCTGGCCATGTGCATGTATCTCACTATTGGGGAGGCTGATCATCAGCAGGAGCTCTATTCGGCTAGTGCCACATATCTGTGCACCCAGGTTTTTTGGGAACATTTCATAATTATGTAAAACCGAAACTAATTAAACAAGCTCAATCACCGAACACTGGTGTTTGACATGTTCGCAGTGCTGGCTGAGCGCTTTGACACAGCGAAGAGAACAAACATCGCTTGGAACCGAGAGCGTACAAGGTAGAATTGCGATCTAATGTGATTAGCGTAGAGACTAAATTATGCTGAAATGGCTTGGCAGTCTTGTGTAGGTTGGGCCGAGCCAGGATAACTCATCCAGTTTGTTTCTGATTTGTTAAGTGCGAATTGAAGAGCTGTTTGCTCTTCAATGAGTCAGCGGCCCGAAGGCAAATTGTATCTAGGGTAACTTTTTATGCACAACATTAATTAGAATAACAAATGCTTCATTACTACTGGAGGTTCATCTGCATACTGATTTCAGTTGTCTCCGTATTCACCGTTTGAAATTTCGCCGCAGGAACTCTGGAGAACTGTATGAAGATTTGACTTGCGAGGCAGCATTAATGTGAAATATTCAAATAGATGCAAAACATCTCGACACTGTCTTATATCATGGCCCGAGCTGAGAAAGAATCGTGCAAAAATATACTGTAAAACATTTCTGTTAATTCACAGACTGAATAATCTCTCTAGAGGCATTTTTTTTTACGAGCTCATAAACACCAGTGCATAATTTTCACCTACAAAACAATGTCAACAGCAGTCTTACTGAAGACAGCTTAGAGCAGGATGATTGCAAGTGGAAGTCAAATGTTAGTGGAACATGTCCGTAGTTAATATGAACTCATATAACTGACACACCTGCATAAAAAACACTTTGGGATAAAAGATGCACAGTGTATATTGTTATGAATTTGGTCATTTCATTAGTATTGGTCAATACATTTTCTTAATATCTTTTAAATAATATCCTAATAACTTTGCCATCATCTAACATTCATTAAAAACTCAATTATACTATTAAAAATAATGGCAACACTTTCTATGTGTCCTATGCTCATAATAAATGAAAGAGCCATTTATACTTATTCATAGGCAAGTATTACTGTTCTATAAGTTGTCTAAATTCATGTGTAGCTTTTAATTGTTTTAGCTTTTAAACATTTTTAGTGTTTTACTAATTTAATTAGACAAATCAATATTTAACTTACACTACCATTGAAAACGTTTGGGGTCAATATGTTCTTTTTAAAAAACATTTATACTTTTATTCAGAAGGATGCATTAAAGTGATCAAAAGTGACACTTTTACACTGTTACAAAAGATTCCTATTTCAAACAAATGCTGTTCTATTCATCAAAAAATGTATCACACTTTCCGCAAAAATATTGAGCAGCACAACTGTTGTCAATATTCATAATAATAAGAAATGTTTCTTAAGCACTTAATCAGCATATTAGAATGATTTCTGAAGGATGACGTGACACTGAAGACTGCAGTAATGACTGCTGAAAATTCAGTCACAGGAATAAATTACTGTTTAAAATATATTAAAATGGAAAACAGTTATTTTACGTTGTAACAATATTATACAATATTACTGATTTTACTGTATTTTTGATAAATGCAGTCTTGGTGAATCTTGGTCAACTCCAAACTTTTGAACGGTAATGTAAATATTACTGGTCTTATCACACACTTGGCTAAAGTGTCCAAAAGTACATGAATACTTTTTGGGGCCTCTGTATGCTGGTCCTCGCATCAGAGACAGCTCAGAATGTTGCTGAATGTTTAAATTGTGCCTTGAGGATATAGTAGCAGACATAAAGGACGTCTTACTATTGAACAGGTGCTCCATTGACTCCACTGGGACATCACGCAGTCATTAGGGCACGGCAGGATGCAGGTCTGAGCTTGTGGAGGGATTTCATCCTGGTCACAGAAGGTCTCATTCACACTGCTAACCAGATCCCCAATGCCACGCCTCACACACCTGTCACAGCCAAAGAACAGCAGAATGAGGATGTGGAGGACGAGGGTGGCAGACTGGAGTGGGTCGTGACCCCTAAGAGAAGCATCTGTGAGAAAGTGTCCTTGCTTACCGAATCTTGCGGCTTTGGACACCCTCACCACAGGCTGGCAGCTCATCCACTGTGTTGATGGTGCAGACTGACCAGGGGTCTGTTACCCACTCGTACTGACCGCACTCACTGCGACAGGACACAGCCTCATACACCTACAGATACACAGAGACAATAATGCACTGATTACAGCTAAACCCATTTAAATATAATTTTGAAGCATCTATCTCAAGCATCAGGGTGGTTGACGTGAACCAGAAAAGCTTAACTGACACTCACTGCGACAGGACACAGCCTCATACACCTACAGATACACAGAGACAATAATGCACTGATTACAGCTAAATCCATTTAAATATAATTTTGAAGCATCTATCTCAAGCATCAGGGTGGTTGACGTGAACCAGAAAAGCTTAACTGTATTCAAAAAGTCTAATAAAGGAATGCTTTTAAGAACTTTTGTAATCTCTTTTCTAGTTATGAGATTCCCTGTAGATGTTATTCAGAGTAGACACCATCTTTAATCTGTTGCAAACAAAAATAAGGCTGTGACAATAAGAATTACCTGTAACTCTGTTGTTTAATTACTGAATATAAATTGTTATTTTTGTAATATTCTTTTTGCAATTTTTAAAAAATTCTTAAATTCAGCAATTGCATTCATCCAAAACATTAAATGTGCATATCCAATACCATAATGCTTCAATCTACTGTTGAAATCACGCATTATGAGGACTAGACTAACATACTGTATATTATATTCAGTATTATATATAGAAGTTTAATACTAACATATAATACACTAGCTAGCCTATACATTTTTTATTTCATGAAGCCTCTGAAAGTTCATTTGTAAGCCAACAGTTTGGAAAGACAGGTCACAAATTAATGTTTTGGAGAGATAGGTCACTTGGGAACTTGAAAAATTATAAACAGGACAGCCTCAAATCAGAACTTTTCTTTCTTTTTATAACATCTTTCTTTATATAACCTCATTGCTATACAAGTCCAAAAATGAGACAAAAATGCAAACTGCTGCTAATAAAGTGCCAACTGGTTGCATTAATCCAGTAGTAATTCTCGCTATTAACAATCCATTAACTATGATTTTGGCCTTAATAAACTACTAATTTGCTGCTTATTAATAGTTAGTAAGGTAGTTGTTAAGTATTAGGGATTTAGAATATGGTCATGCAGAATATTTGCTTTATAAATACTAATAAACAGCCACTATGTTATTAAAAGGCATGCTAATAAGCAACTAATTACTAGTGAGAATTGGTCCCTATACTAAAGTTTGCAAACATCGTGTATTGTTGTCCTCAGTCTCTCACAGCATTGTTTTGGTTTGCGTCAGATGTGTGTCTGCTCTGATTATGCTCTATTTTTTGGTGGCTGATGACTGGCGAGAGGCTTTTTGATGTGGCACATGTAGGGCATTCTCCTATTTCTTAACTTCAGTAGACACGATTTCATTAAAAAAATGAGTCCAGAAGCCAAAAACTGAAGTTTTGAAATACTCGGCAATCAATCCATCAAACCTCATAAGAAAGTGGCTTATGAAAACACAGTGAACAAATGAGACTGTACGTTTATAGCTTCCTCCCCAAGGGGATATACAGACCCTAACACACATTCTGAAAATATCCCATCTGGCCCTGCAGCTGCTAAAAGCCCCATCAGCTCTCTCCTCTTGTCTCCTCTCGTCTCTCCTCATCTCCTCTCCTCTCCTTTAATGAGTGTCATTGAATTTCCAATTACAATAATCAAACAAGTGTTAAGACGATGCTCAAGATGGGAGAAGTGAGTGAAAAGATGATGAATGAAATTGGCAGTAAATCTACTGAAGCATTAAAAAAGGGTAATTTCATTAACATAGACAAATATCAAGCTCTACAAACATGACAATATCAAGAAATGAAATTGGCACATTAAGAAACAATCATTAATTCAGCAACACTCATCAACAGCAGCGAACAATTTTATTTAAAAGCTCTTAATGGGCAAAGTCAGTTTTACGGCACGCCTGACAGTTTTTCTATAAGGCTCCAATAAATATCCAACCTGCCGTCTGACTTTTACAATGCAAAGGCGGCGCTCGGTTATCGCATATTAAGGAAAAGTTCCAATCTGTTCTTTAAATAGCACAAATATAGGATTCTATTCTCCTTCACCGCAACTTTCACTGCCTAACTCTCAAGTGGAGGTAATATTTTAAGAAAAATAAACCAGCTATGCTGCTCACAGGTCAGTTCCTGTAACCTCTTGGAGGATGTCGGTACTCTGGGCCGGATAATGAAGTCCCCTGATCCTTTTCAAATGTTAGTCAAAGGGCCAGAGACGACATAAAAAATGTACTTCATACTAATTCAAATCTCAGTCGGCCCGTGATCAAAATACACTAGCGCTCCTCTTATTCAGAGGAGGGCTGGGGCCACGGAGGCCAGCGGGGCAGTGGGGGTTAACAGATGCACAGGGAGAAACACAGAATGAGGCACTGACCTGAGCCTTTGAAGATGTCCGTATTAGCAGTGCATGACAGGCAAAGGAGAGAGAAGAGAAATGATATATATATTAGTTTTGAGCTTTAACTTCTCCTGTGCAATAGCCTGTCTGAACTAGCTAAGAAACTCCCTTCAACAAATTAGAAAAGTATAGAAGAAATTCAATGCAGATTTTCTGGCTTTGTGTGCATGTGTAATTCTGTTTATATGAAGGACATCAGGGTGGTTGACGTGAACCAGAAAAGCTTAACTGTATTCAAAAAGTCTAATAAAGGAATGCTTTTAAGAACTTTTGTAATCTCTTTTCTAGTTATGAGATTCCCTGTAGATGTTATTCAGAGTAGACACCATCTTTAATCTGTTGCAAACAAAAATAAGGCTGTGACAATAAGAATTACCTGTAACTCTGTTGTTTAATTACTGAATATAAATTGTTATTTTTGTAATATTTTTGCAATTTTTAAAAAATTCTTAAATTCAGCAATTGCATTCATCCAAAACATTAAATGTGCATATCCAATACCATAATGCTTCAATCTACTGTTGAAATCACGCATTACGAGGACTAGACTAACATACTGTATATTATATTCAGTATTATATATAGTAGTTTAATACTAACATATAATACACTAGCTAGCCTATACATTTTTTTTTTCATGAAGCCTCTGAAAGTTCATTTGTAAGCCAACAGTTTGGAAAGACAGGTCACAAATTAATGTTTTGGAGAGATAGGTCACTTGGGAACTTGAAAAATTATAAACAGGACAGCCTCAAATCAGAACTTTTCTTTCTTTTTATAACATCTTTCTTTATATAACCTCATTGCTATACAAGTCCAAAAATGAGACAAAAATGCAAACTGCTGCTAATAAAGTGCCAACTGGTTGCATTAATCCAGTAGTAATTCTCGCTATTAACAATCCATTAACTATGATTTTGGCCTTAATAAACTACTAATTTGCTGCTTATTAATAGTTAGTAAGGTAGTTGTTAAGTATTAGGGATTTAGAATATGGTCATGCAGAATATTTGCTTTATAAATACTAATAAACAGCCACTATGTTATTAAAAGGCATGCTAATAAGCAACTAATTACTAGTGAGAATTGGTCCCTATACTAAAGTTTGCAAACATCGTGTATTGTTGTCCTCAGTCTCTCACAGCATTGTTTTGGTTTGCGTCAGATGTGTGTCTGCTCTGATTATGCTCTATTTTTTGGTGGCTGATGACTGGCGAGAGGCTTTTTGATGTGGCACATGTAGGGCATTCTCCTATTTCTTAACTTCAGTAGACACGATTTCATTAAAAAAATGAGTCCAGAAGCCAAAAACTGAAGTTTTGAAATACTCGGCAATCAATCCATCAAACCTCATAAGAAAGTGGCTTATGAAAACACAGTGAACAAATGAGACTGTACGTTTATAGCTTCCTCCCCAAGGGGATATACAGACCCTAACACACATTCTGAAAATATCCCATCTGGCCCTGCAGCTGCTAAAAGCCCCATCAGCGCTCTCCTCTTGTCTCCTCTCGTCTCTCCTCATCTCCTCTCCTCTCCTTTAATGAGTGTCATTGAATTTCCAATTACAATAATCAAACAAGTGTTAAGACGATGCTCAAGATGGGAGAAGTGAGTGAAAAGATGATGAATGAAATTGGCAGTAAATCTACTGAAGCATTAAAAAAGGGTAATTTCATTAACATAGACAAATATCAAGCTCTACAAACATGACAATATCAAGAAATGAAATTGGCACATTAAGAAACAATCATTAATTCAGCAACACTCATCAACAGCAGCGAACAATTTTATTTAAAAGCTCTTAATGGGCAAAGTCAGTTTTACGGCACGCCTGACAGTTTTTCTATAAGGCTCCAATAAATATCCAACCTGCCGTCTGACTTTTACAATGCAAAGGCGGCGCTCGGTTATCGCATATTAAGGAAAAGTTCCAATCTGTTCTTTAAATAGCACAAATATAGGATTCTATTCTCCTTCACCGCAACTTTCACTGCCTAACTCTCAAGTGGAGGTAATATTTTAAGAAAAATAAACCAGCTATGCTGCTCACAGGTCAGTTCCTGTAACCTCTTGGAGGATGTCGGTACTCTGGGCCGGATAATGAAGTCCCCTGATCCTTTTCAAATGTTAGTCAAAGGGCCAGAGACGACATAAAAAATGTACTTCATACTAATTCAAATCTCAGTCGGCCCGTGATCAAAATACACTAGCGCTCCTCTTATTCAGAGGAGGGCTGGGGCCACGGAGGCCAGCGGGGCAGTGGGGGTTAACAGATGCACAGGGAGAAACACAGAATGAGGCACTGACCTGAGCCTTTGAAGATGTCCGTATTAGCAGTGCATGACAGGCAAAGGAGAGAGAAGAGAAATGATATATATATTAGTTTTGAGCTTTAACTTCTCCTGTGCAATAGCCTGTCTGAACTAGCTAAGAAACTCCCTTCAACAAATTAGAAAAGTATAGAAGAAATTCAATGCAGATTTTCTGGCTTTGTGTGCATGTGTAATTCTGTTTATATGAAGGATGAAGATGAAGACAGTAATGACCGCAGTATGCTGCCAGATTGAAAATGTAATTAACTTTCTAAATTGCATAAATATGCAAAAGTCTAGAAAACAAATAGTGTTTTACACTAGAGGGAAAGCTGTCCAAAACTTTAAAAATGATTTAAATCCTCCAGAACATCTACTATCTTCTACTTGATGAACTTATGTATGAATGTTTTTACATTAGATGCAAAATATCAAACCAAATGGCATTTCAGAAATGAAATGG